TTCCCCCCTTTCTCATTCCATTTCAGCCATGTGGCCTCCTCCCTATTTCTCAGATAAGCTGGGCGTGCTCCAGTCATATTTAAATGTCACTTTCTCAAGAGCTTCCCTGCCTACCCTGATTAAAATGGCACACAGCCCCCCCACTCAGTGGCATTCCCTGTTCACTTTTCCGTGTTTTAGTGTCCTTTAAAGCACTTATTACCCTGTAATATACAAATACTGTATTTCCTCACACCGAAGAAACCATCACTTACAAGAAACACTGTAATGTTATGTACCACTAAGATATTAATTAAATTAAAAGTTACTGCCAAGAAGACCGACAAGTTGCTTTTTTTATTACTTCAAAATTATTTTACACCCACTGAAGTAGCTGTTTTAGGCTTATCTACACAGTGGTGTTATTATATATCACTGCTCTGCAAACCAAACAGGAAATTATTTCTTAACTGTTAAAACACAAAATAAAATTGTATTGTAAATAAGCAAAATACACTGTTTATAAAATAATTTAAATATGGTATTTTAGTTGTTTATTGTTTATCTCCTTATACGAGAAGGTAAGCTTGAAAGGAGCAGGATTTTTTTGTCTGTCTGGTTTCCTGCTGTAGTCCCAGGGCTTGGTTCAATCCCTATTCTGCTGTACTAAGAATGATTAAATCAGAATCATAAATCATGCTTTTTAGACTCCACCTACCCTCAGTGAGCTTACTGTGAATTAATCAATCCTCCTGCCCTGAGTTACTCTTTGTTTTTTTAAAACTGGCAACAATGTAGGACTCTTTCTTTAGACCTCTATGGAGTTCTCATTCTGAATGAAACAATTTCCACTCATGCCTTTGATAATTTCTAACAGGAGTAGGAAAAGTTGTAGTAAAGCTATCGGATGGACGACTGTACAGCACGCTGAGGCTGTACACCTTTGATGACATTCTTTCTGAGAACACACCACTGCTTAACAAAGGGATCAGAAACATTTATAAATAGAAACTGTCGTTCATCGGAGCTGTGAAAAAGGAGAAGTGTTGCTCAGATGAATCACTGGAAATTTTCTCGTGCCAAAATGAACCAAACCAAACTCACCCGGTGTATGTGCTCTGATTTTACCTTGTCAAATGAGCACTTAGTCCAAGGGCACCTATTCCTCAAAGAGGAGAGGGAGACAATTCCCAGCCCGATTCCTTTGCTTGGTCCCTTTGACATCCACACGCTCAGTCAGTGTTTATTGAGAACCCATAGGTTCCTGATGCATAAGAAACTTTGGAGTAAAGCAAAGAGCTCAGATACAACCAGCAGGCTTAGAGGGAAGATCATTCCAAATGCATTATTTAAGTCCTCTCTACAGTGGTCCCTCGGTATCTGCAGGGGATTGATTCAAGGAGCTCCCTTGGATACCAAAATCCGCGGATGCTCAAGTCCCTCATATAAAATGATGTAGCACACTCGGCCCTCGGTATCTGCGGTTCCGCATCTGTGATGTTGACTAAAAAATGCACAACCTGAGAGTTGTGAGTTACGTTTTATTCAGCAGACCTTCTGAGGACTCAAACCCAGGGAAGGAAGATCGCTCTCAGATGGCTCTAAGAGACTGTTCCAGAGAGGCAGGGGAGGAGCCAGGATATACAGGAGTTTTGCCATAAAGAAGGGGTACTTAGAACATCAAAGGATTACTGTTAATTAAAGAAAACCAGGTATCTCGAGTTAAGGAAGTTAGTGCTTTTCTATGTGTGGGAAGGTGCAAAGGTCTGGGCTTATTGAAACCATTCCTTTGATATGCACCTAGCTCTCTAGGGCCAGTATCCTGTTCTTTCATATCTTGCGTCCCCTCAGGGAACACCTTGGGGGTGGCAGCAGAGGCCAGGCTGCCTGCTTGTGGTCATCCTGAGTTCCCTCAGCTCACTGTCAGGGGGTGGGGGGTGGGGTAGCTGCTGATGACCTGATGGCCACAGCATCCTTTGTTTACTATATGGCTGGCAGCATTTTTCATTCACAGTAAAGATCAGGGGCCCAGTGTACTGAGACCAGCTTCTTCCACAAATGGTACAAAGGACTTAATCTAGTACAAAAGAAAGCTTAATTCTGAACTTAAAATGCAAAAACCTTCATTTTCTAGTGTAATTATACAGTTACGGTAACTTCACTTTTCTTTTTTAACTAATTAAGCTTTAAATCTATTTGGGGGGCAATTAGATCGTTGCCTTTAACCTGATTTGCAGTCTGTCGG